CATTATGACGATTAGATCACGAAGTCATAATTATTCATTCCTTGTCAGCGAATTACACAAAACCAATTATTGATTTTGAATAAAGGTATTTAATGACGCACGGTTAACCGGAGTTAAGAGAGTACTTGGTCTCGACAGATCAGGAGAGGTCGCGCGTCTGCTGGTCGCTCACGTCACCGGCGGCGCCCGACCGTCGCGACGCCACTGTACTGTTGCCAATGCTTAGAGGATACAGATACCCATCTTATACGTATTCAAATAATCATAATACAAATATTAAACCACATTACTACATAGTACTATGTCAAAAACTTGTACGAACGATTAGTCTGTTTTTTTCAAATATAATAACTAGGATGTCATCAGTCAAGTCATGTTATGATGTTTGTCAATGGAAATCAATGAATAACATGATATAGGGTTCATCTATACATCCATATGTACACCTCTACTTTACAATGTTATTTACTCTAACTCTATGTACATTTCCTTTTAACACAAGCACTTTTAATGCATATACGTGCTTCAAATTAAGTAAAAGGTTCGCAAATGAACCACTTGTTTATTTACTCGTTCGTGAATACCAATTAAACAACGCTCGTGAAAACATATAGAGTATTTGATCGTCAAAGTGTTAAATTATCGGTGCACAGTTAGGGCACACGTGGAATGGGCAGTAAGTATGCACTAGTTGTAGGGTTGCCACATTTCCAGATCTCAGTAAGCAAACTATTTATAAAGGTTACAATAGCCCTTTAAAATCGTTCCAAATTAATTAAAATTAAAATATAAAACGTTGTCAATCGATTTTTTTTAATCAATGGGATAATTATTTTACAAAGTTGTAAAATAACATTATTAGATCTTTTTTTTTTCTAAATCTATATTTCTTGTATTAATAATATATAATTTTTATATTTTTAATGTTCTTTTTCGTACAAAAGCACTTAGGGCAACCCTAGCCAAGGTGCGTTATGACTCTGTCGACAACGCACCTGCGCTGCTCCGTGCATTTTAATTGGATTCTTTTTTGTCTATTGACACTCTTATATCGTTATCGGCGCGTATATTTTTCATTACTTTAGGAATTTCACATTTTAAAATTGTTAATAAAAATATCCATTTTGTTAAAAAGCTTATTACTATAACTGCAAACTTTTTTTTATATTATATAATGATTGACTACAGTCGTTAGGCACACTAATCTCGTAGTTTGGTAGTTCACGTAATGACCGTATTAGAGTGGTTATTCAAACTGCATAGCACGAAAGTAACCCGTCGACAAATGCTAATGAGCCCCGACTACCGCATTTTTGTGTCCAGCCCATAACTAATAACTTACCTTAATACCCCCGTTTAGCGACTGCACGAACAACGTAATGACTGCTCGACTGGGTATAACACGTAAATATACATAAATATTCACTATGTAATAGATCATAATCAAGCAGATTGGTTATCTAAAAAATATTAATTAAATGAACTTAATTTGATACATATTGATGTCGCAAGCAACGTTCTAATTGACTATAAATTAATAAATTGCTTTTTTTTACAATCTTCTTACTAATAATATAAATCCGAATGTTTAGATGGATGTATCTCCAGAACGGCAGTATGAATCTCGCCGTAATTTGACATGGATGTAGAACATAGTCTGGAAGAACACATAGCCAACTCTTAAATTTATTTCTACAATTCTGCTAGGACGGAGTCGTGGGCGACATCTAGCTTTGATATAAAATCTTGTCAATTAATATCTAACCTACATGTAGTATTGTTATATTGAATTTCCAGTGATATGATGCAGATTCTAATTTACTGGAGGCAATTATTATTGCAATTGTATTGTCATCAATTGTACGTCATGGCCCTCACCTCGTGATTACGAATAATAGTATACAATTTGCACTTTAATTTAATTAAAGGAAGTATCGTATAGAGACATTAGTATTGAGAGCGCGCACAATGCAGCAGATAGCCGGATTGCGCGCCACATTGTGTTGCCCTGATAGAGATTGAATAGGAGCGAGCTGCGCGCGCGCACGCGCCCCGCGCACCTTCCGGTATACTTGACCCCGTTCGGGCTGGCTATTGCCGCATACATATATTCGCGAACATATTATTGTATGCTTAACTTGATTTGATATGATTTCAACTACTACTATCCAAAGTTCATATCTGTAAAGTTCTGATGACGTGTTACTATTGTGTTTCTGTTAACGGTTAAATGCAAGTCAAGTGACAAATTAAAAATAAATTATCTTCGATTATCCATTACATTGTTGAGCTCATAAGTATCGTTAGAGCTTTTCCAAATCATTTGGACGCTTTGCAACCGTTGCGCAACGCTCGAACAATGGCGATGTTCGCGCGCTTTTGGAATTTGCAATGGCGGAATTCAATCACGCGTCCCGTCCCCCTCAACCCGATCCCGCCTAAATTCACGCGCGAAGTCTCACGTTCTATTTGGTAAGTTCTCAGATCGAACCTCCGATGACTCAACTCAATACTGGTTTCTTGACTACCTATAGAAACTCTATTTGTTTATTATTTAAATTGACTTTAATTTATTATTATTCTATTTGAATGCTAGAAACAATGAAAAGTTAACATAAACGAATAAAATGTTAAACGAAACAAACTAACAATATTGCGTATACCGTCATCGTCTGCGAATCGGTGGTTAAGATAAATTTATCGAATAATTTATGCAAAATATATTATTTCCTGTCTCCCTTACCGCATGTTACATTGTCTTTAAACTCTGTTTGCTACTCTGTGCATTCGTAGACGAAACAATGTCTTGTAAATTCATAACTAAGTCCTAGAACTTGAGGTGTACTTTGCATTTAGACGGCGACAACTGCGTAACGGTTGTCGCGACCCGCGTGTGTCCTTCTGAAGATTTATAGCTACGTGAGGAATACAACAATTTTACATTACCAGTACAAAGTATGAAAGTCGTCCGTCTGTCAGTCATGCGACAACCGGGATATTTCGATATAAACGGCTCTTGATGCGGTCAAGTCGATATGGCACCTATGGACGGCAACATAGACCATTGTCTGGACAAGATAATTTTGCTGTTCAATTAATCCTTATTGTGGCAAGATTTCTTTTTTGAAGATAAGAAAAAAAACGTCTAAAAATGTCATGTGTTTAATAAAACTGAGTTAAAAATTATTTTATAGTGATCGTATATTTTTATAAAGTTGTATGTATGGTATACTATACAAAATGAACATAAGGGTTAACATTACTATTACTAATTTCATTCAGCAACTTGAAATCTTCGGTTCTGCAACGTAATTCTTTCTTTGGGGACATAAACTTGATGGTTCTCTACGACGGTGTACATCCTGAAGACCTGATTCACATTTCCACCAATAATAATTTGATAAATTTTCATGTCACCTTTCAACTCTTCTTTTAAAATCGTGTTATGAAATTTATTAAAAACGTCTCTACGCAATCAAATTGCTTTTTAATTCAATTCAACTAGTTTTACTTTTGAAATGTTGACATTGGCTCGTTCACTAGATATCCGAATCTAGAGAGTCGAAGAAGCTGTTGAAGTGCGCACGTTATCTTTACTTTTCATTTGTATCCATTTACAAATAAGTGATTAATACAAGACGATGAGAACACTTACTTGTCAGAGCAATAGGGACTTCCCGATGCACTTTTGATAACAATAGATGCATAGTCATATTTGTAGATAAATGTTTACTTTGAATATTCAAACGGTATAAAAGACTTGATTATATCGAATTTTATGTAAACTAAAAACTACAGAGATTCAAACATCGTATTCGTAATGGTTCTCTATAGGTCACGAACGGCTTACACTTGTTTTGTTGATTGTCAGATAGTTGCTATAAACATATCCTGTACTAGTTAGGCTTAAGAACAATGCACGCAGCCATAACAGAAGGTTATTACTCTTATCAGAGTTCAATCAAAGTTGATATCTATTTCATATTGTGTTAGGTTTATAATTTAAAATTGCTCTATCATACTACGTTTAATAAGTTTGTATTATAGTATGTTTATTTGTTGTTCGGTGCACATGTATAGGAACTAGACGATGCTCTTTTGCACCGTGTACCGTATAGTATAAATAAACATAAATAAATTAAATTCGTTTGTGCGATGTTGTACTGTCAGTACACAAAGTTTTGCTCAGTGATAAATCTAATCTGTGGTGCTACCATGCATCATAGCCGTCGCTGTGTGGCCGCTCTATAAGGCGATTAAAAAACTGAACAAGCTTCAGCCTTTCCGAACACCGTATACGTCATTTTTATTGGTTTATTGATTGGTGATATTATTAATAGTGTTTACCGTCTGTCGATATGTGATGCTTAAATTTTTTTTTAAATGTTTGACAATTTATTACTTCGATGTGTTAAGTGAAAATGCTCTTTATATTTGCAGTATTGCGCAGTTTAAAAAATGCTAATCTATATAAAAATTATACTTTACAGGGGCTATAGCAATTTTAAACTATAACTTTCCCTTACCACAACTTTGTGGGTTTATATTTAAAGGCAAGTTAAATGAGACTATTTAATTTGAATCGTATTTAGTTGGTACCACTGCAGTGTATTTAAATGCTTTGAATGCTAGAAGTTTGTATGGTGGTCTGACATTTACAAGTGTACAGAGCTGTCGAACGGCTCGGCGCGGCATTGTGCAGGTCTCGGCGGAGCGGCGCGAGCGCAGCGAATGTTGCCGTTTGCGAAACCAACTACTTTGATATTTAGAACAATACACTTACCCAACTCTCAACTTTAAAATGATATGATGATAATTGTTAATACAATTTAGAGTCACGATTTGACATTCGATTCTTAGTTTGCTAGTAGTATCCGTGTTTTGGAATCATATTGTTTAGTTTTTTGTTTATTAAAGGGCAATAATATTATCATACCTAGACGCTGGCACCAACTTGACAATCCTGTATCTATTCTAATAACGCTATCGCTTATTTCCAGGTAAGAACGTGAGACAGATATTCCACGAAGCTACCGTCGACACATGTAGCGCCATGTAAGTTCTCCGTACATGGAACATGCAAAGAAACATGACATTATAAGATACTTATAAACATAAAGAAAAAACAAAAGATCCAACGAAATCATTTGATAATCAGCATAAGAGGAAACTGTCTTCTTCAATTTCGCGTAAGACATTCCACTGGATATGTTAATAAGGATAACATGAGATCGCACAGGGCGAGCAATGAATGCATCGATCCGCGACCACTTGACCGCAAATGTAAGCCGCGACCGCAGCGCCCTCCGCGGACACATAATCGACTTTGACATTTATCGCGTCAACCACACGGGCACGATTAGCACTCATCGAGTCTCCTCATTATATAGCACTCACCCCCGGCGACGTTTACCGCCAGTTCCTACAATTATGTACAGGATAGTCGCCTTCGCCCAGTTCTGGCTATTACACTGTATAAGCTGAGCCATGCAAATGTGCGGCGCATCTTAATGAGCTCCCTAGAAATAACGTCACGGCAAACTGATAAAGATTCCATTAGGAAAAAAAATCCTGCGTCACACGTTCCGTAGAAGTACTTTGCATTTATTCTATTATTTTTTTATAATATCTGTCAAATAAAAGATATTCTAACTTTTTATTCCTTGTTATTTGTATTTTACGATCGCCGCATTAAAATTCTTTGAGATAAAATCAACCACGATAAAACTGTCGCTCGATAAGCTTTGTGCAGTTGTGGATGGAATCCAAAAAACTTGGTATCGCTTACAATAATGTTCATTTATTCAGTTAATGCCGAAAAACAAAAACAAAAAATAGTCGGTTTGCGATGCAACGAACCCGCTTTGAGAATCGGCCCGGCCAATTATGGCGGACGAGTAATGCAACTGATTAAATCATAGCCTCGGGATTTTATGAATGCGCGCGCGTCCATATAGCGCCGCTGTATCGAAGCAGAACTTAATAATAGACAAACAACTCATAGAACCTCTCGCTCACTACGAGCTGCAGGAAAAGCCGCGATCACGACAAATATTAATAATGTAATGCATAAAGCATTAATGCTGCAAAGCAAAGCGCCAGTAAAGATGCTTCTTTAGAAGGTATTATACGTATTTGACAACTGCAGTGTCCTTGTGATAGGGACGATTGTTAAATAGCTACAACAGTTTAAAGACGCGCAAGTATAAGAAAAGAATAGTCGTAGTTTAAATTCCCAAGCTGTCCGAACGATGAAGTTAAACACACTTACCTCAATGCGAGGCGTGCGTGTGGTTCATTCATACGATTCTAAAGGTTGGCATTACAAAAAGTTCAGGCCATGGCGAATAAAGTACGAACCCGTCGAATAAAAATGCATGTTTCATTGCACCGCGCCGCGAACGATCGACGACACTATAATGGGCAACAACAAAGGACACACGCCGCTTCGACACCGCCTTGGCACGCGTGAAGCTCACTGCTCTCCGACTACGACGCATACCTCTTATTTTCATTTATTATGTCTTATTAACTCCAAATTATTACCAATAAAGTTAAATAAATTTGTTAAACTACGCTTTAACAAGACTTGGTCGTCAATTTTCATATTTAAAACTATATTTCAAGCAATAAATGCCACTGCTGTTATTATGCGTGTTTATACACCTCTATGACAACGGTATGTTATTAATATGAAAACGAATGGGGATTAACATTCGTAATTCTAGTCTGGGTGTATGAAATGAAATGAATGATAGTGATTGCTTGTTGCACTATTTGCGTTGGCTGGTTGGGAACGGTACACCAGTGCGTGCGCGTGGTTATGCAAGCGGCGGCGCGGCGTCCTTGCGGCGGGAGGCGGGGGCGAAGGCCGGGCCGCCGACCCGCGCGGTGTCCACCCCGCTTTTTGCCCGCGCCGTGCGCCGGCTCCGGTCCAACCTGTCCTGCGACACGCCCGCGCCCCTCAACGCTCGCCCGCGACAACCAGCCCTACGGAATTGCTAATTTTTTTCCTATACCCTGTGGTATGTGCACACCATTATCGCACTGCCGTGGTAAGGATCCACTCTTGTCGATTTTAGTCAATAAGTAGTGTAAAGAAAAAAGTGAATGTTTAGATTAAGTTATAATCTAGCTTCATCATTCATTCAGAGTCTGTAGACTTAATTTGTAGTCGTTTAGTTTGACCCTAAGTTACATATGACATTATTTTATAGAGTTATGTGTGAACGTCACATACTAAGTGACTAGAAGTTTTTATTACGTACACTTCGTCTTATTATAGTTAAAAGCATATAAATACATCACCCATAAATACAGTCCAAATAAAACTTACTTCTCGGTACGGTTCGCGGTACGGTCGGGTGTGCTTCCACGGACACCGGCATAAAGCATCCCGAGACGTTGCCAGATATTACCAGACGTTACCAAACGCTAGCAGACAGTGGCATAAAATACCGTCGGACATTGCCAGACACGCGCATATCGCCGCGTTTGACTTACGGCGGCGGGTGCGTGGTATCACTACCATCCATCTCGGTGCCGTCGCGCGAATGCTGCCCTCGCTCCTGACGGCAACGCACAGGACTGAGTTATGAACCATGCAATCTTACTCCAAGCTTTTCAATATTAAACTTTGTAAAATTGCTGCTGCTATGCGTATATGTCTGGGAGATAAAAGGCTTTTTAAAATCATACGACAATTACCTCGTCTCATTAGACGGGTGTCAAAAAAAATTCCTAAAATTAATTGTAATTAAATCAATCGATTGTCATTCGAGTCAGGCGTAGTTTCTAGTTTAGGTGATTCATGAGCAAATTGCAATGCCTTAGCATCAAACTTATATCAATGAATAAAATGATGTAGCGCCGTTTGTTCATTTTCCACTCTTCCTGCACTTTATTGTAGCCACGCGTTTGACTTACGTAACATCGCAAATGTTTATCTTTTATCGACCGATGTTTAAATAACATTGGCTAATATATGACCCATTTTATTAGCTTCAAAAATGTTGAATATATGTGTGATATTTGTGCAAAAGGATTTTACGACGTATTCGTCTCGTAAAAGGTTACAAAACGTTCACATAAATAAGCAACAATTGAAATGTTCATCATACATCTTGGTAATTTATTGTTGTTCTAATATCTGTTATACACAATTGAATTCCTTACATTTATATGTTCGTCCCAAATACCATCTGGAAAATAAACAAAGCATACTTTGCTCCCGAATTTGCAATATCCACGTTAACGCTCAAAACTTCGGCTCTTATTTAAAATGAAAACAGATCGTAGAGCTGTTCTAAATACCTTCCATCTAACAATTCTCAGAAATTAGATCAGGACCGAATACAAAACGTTTGAATATATGTATCAGTATCGGTCATCAATATACAATACATAGAGTTATGTAATTTTAAACGTTAATAGTGTAGCGGAGATGGCGGCGTCCTATGTAGGCATTCGCGGAAACACATTGATATTCACCCAACCACAGTCCTAACACTACATAGTCTGAATATGGCTTATTTAATTGTTTTCTCCGTATACATCGGTCAGTTTGCACGTGTGAATCTACGAGAACGCTAGTAGGGAAGCGATGTTTGCGGTCATAGGCACGTTGGCGGAGTTCGTCCGGACGACGCGTCCCGTGTCCGTCGGGATACGTCGGCCTTCGCCCGGCTTCGGCTAAAAATAGCCGCGCCCTTGAGAGACGCGTCGTCGAACAGGATTTATCGCCCGCCAGGACGATCGACGGACACCGCGCTAAAACATAACCCAACACGTCTGCCGCTAATTTTCTAAAATCGTCAACCATTTAACACTTTGGATCATACCTAAATAAAGTTTTGAATTGTAACACTAGTAGTGTTTCAACCATTTGTTTTAAAGAAAAGTTTAAGCTTTTTAAACGAAATTTTACACTTTAAAAAATGTTTTTATAAATAGATATTTTTATCTAAATCTATGGATGTGACAAAGATCGTAAATAAAAGATATCTTAAGTTGGGTGCATTAGGACGACCTAAAGAAACTTTCCGCTGTCGCCATTAAAGGCAGGCGTGTCCGCGATACGTCATATTTATAGATGCCGCATGTAGAATACATTAACATTACTTACCAATCTTACTGTGAACGCTGCACTTTTATCATAATGATGGAATCAAAATGCTCCGCGACTTTTTATTCTATTCTTATGCTTTTAAGGTTTTTATTGTTTTGGTACGCGCTGTGCTGCACATGGCCCATTAGTGTGGTGCAGTGGTTGCACATCCACGGCACGTTGGAGACGCTCGCTCTACTACATATTGAGTTTCTATTTTAACTTGGACGTTCACTTTTCATTCATTAACAGTTTCGAAAGAAAAAGTTTGTTAATCTAAATATTTGTATCTTGTTCCGTCATTTGTAATAACCATAAAAGAAATATATGCGTTGACCAACCTTCGTTTTCTATGCATGTTTATTACATTCTTTATCTTAAACTGTGGAGTTTTAAAAGCATTTATACTAATCAAAATTTAGGGATATTCATGCATATTTCCTACAATTTTCCCCATTTCTCTTAGTCATATATATTTTTAATAAACAATACCTTACCTCTTTTGTGGTTATTATTATGTCAGAAATAAACTAATATGTTTATCGATGAATATTTTAAAGCTTGATCAATTGGACACGTGCTGGTTATAAAGCGTGTTTAAAATTTGATGTGTTTAACGATATGTGATATACAAATATGTAATTACAATGGTTAGAACGTAAGTAGACAGGGGGTGGAGTGCACGCGTGGCGGATTCCATCCCGCGTCCCCTTGGCGCCCCGTTGGCGTCCAACTTGCCCCATTATTTATACATCGACCACTGATGCGCGTCCAATCGTAACTCATCGAAGCCCTCAACACCCCCTTTATAAACGATAAACATCTTTTGTTATGACAATCGATTCGTTCGAGTTCATTACAGTTCTAAGCATATTTTCATTCAGGACTAAGTTTTCCTATGATAATAGTTTACGCATCCATAAACATCTCATGTGAACGAGTGACTTG